ACAAATCGATCAGCGATTCTATGTACGACGAGATTTTCCAGTTGAAATACTTGTTTGTAATCCATCCACTTATCAATATTACAAATCAAACAACAAAACTCTTCATCGCCATCTTCCAACTGTTCAACATCTCAAACCTGTTTATGATACATCTGGTCATTCATCTTCACTTCTTCTCTCATTCTCATTAACTTCAATTTTTTCTTTGATTATTTTAGCGAATGAAACAATGAGCGAAATGTCATCGATGATTGTGAATGAAAATATTTATTGTGTTATTCAATGGATAGAAGAGACAATGGAGAAGAAGATGATTTCTATTGTCTCACAATCCACCATCTTCAAATCACCAGATTTTATTTGTATCAATGATATTTGTGTGATTGAATTTGAAGGAAATTATTACAAAGGAAAAATTCTTTATAAAGGTCAATTTAATCTTTTGCGAAAATTTTTGTTTGACCTTCAGATTCGAAATCCTTTTTAGGTTCACGTCATATGTGTGAGATATTCCAAGCTGAGCATGGTGATAGAATCGCCCAAGAGGTAAATTCAGTGATCTGTCTAATCAGAGACAGTTGTTGTTTTTTTGTAGGAAAACATTTTAATAAAGATGATGAAACCAATGGAAATTAATACGAAACAGTCATCTACAATTCAAAGTAAATATTAATCAGAGATGGCGCGACCGGCGGTGTCGGGATCGACACATCCTCAATGATTGAAATTTTTGTTATTTTGGCGAATTAAGAGATTGAAAAACAAGCATGCAGTAGAAATTTTGCTAGCTTTTCCTCGAAAATACAGAATTAAACTGTTTTCTTCGCGAACAAGTTATAAAGTAAAATCAAAAGTTTTTCACTTAGCGAAAAAGTAACTCTTATGCAATCACAGGTGACCCAAAAAGTACCTGATCTTTCGTTTTAGAGACATATTATAATGTCTTTTACGCCTAGAGATCTTCATTATTGGACAGTTATGATGAGAGTGGTCACCTTCGGTGGCTAAAGCTGTTAAGAAATTTCTTAAGTTGTATTCGATAATGCTATAGTTTTTGGAAAGAAACGATTCAGGACGACAGAATTTCTGATCAACGCGGACAAAATTCCCGTTTCGAGAAATAATATTAGTCGTACAGGTGTAATCAGTTTTTTACAAGCTGAAAACTTAATTCTGGGAAATGTTGATTCATTGCGTATTCTGGCAAGTATGGCTTCGACTAGTTGTTACTACTGTGAACACCTTCGACGTTAGAAATACTGAGAAACTTTTTTCAAATTTTTATAGAAAGTCGATTTTCTTTCTTACAAGACTAGAAAGTAAATCAAAGTGTTTTTCATTGAGTAAAGTGTTCTTGATTCGAAAAAATTTGATGGAACATATTCAATGAAAAAAATAATACTAACTCTGTACGGAGAAAATATGATGATGTCTCCTAATCCTCATCAGCCCAGAACAGTCCTGATGCGCATTATTCTTCTTCTCTTTTAAGATGTGCGTCATTTGTGCTGTAACATTAATTGAACTGTATTGTATATGCAGAAAAATATACTGAACAGACAACTAAAAATCTGATGTTATTTTGAACACACTATTTCTTGCAAAAATTTTTTTACATCCCCTCCCTCAAAGTTCCAAGAGTCACGCTACTCCTATATAGAATGGAACAGATAGCCTTTGTTTTGGTCGTCTTACCTAATCATAAAGTCAACGTTTGTCTTTGATGAGACAAATTGGATTTTGAAGAAAAAGTTTTTCGATTAGAAATTAAGCCATACAATTAAAAATGAGTTCGTCCAGTTAAAAATATGTCTCATTGAATTACTTCTGAGGTTGAAAATGATTACAAAAAATAATTTCAATATATTCATTCATTTCCAGACATACCGACTCAGTTGGAAGAACTTCCCAATGAATTATTATTGGATATATTCGAATATATTGATATTCAAAATGTTTATCGTGCTTTTTGGAGTCTTAATATTCGTTTCAATCACCTTCTTCAATCCAATCCAAATGTGTTCTTCAATTTCGATAATAAAATCGATATATCATTGATGCCATTGTTTATCAATCAAATAACTCGATTATCTATTGATACATCAAATCCATGTAATATTTCTCAATTTCCTAAGTTATCGTCATTAATATTACACAATCGAGATTCTGCTCATCTATCACAGATTCAATCCAGCACTCTTTCCAATTTGATTAGTCTTTCTTTTGTATTAGAATCTGACTTTAGACCACCGAAACAACTCGTCGATGATGTGTTTTCAAATAGATTTCGTTATCTACGTCGAGCTGATCTAGGTCAAATTACCAGACCATCGAATGATTCATGGTTGATATCACCTTCTCTTCAGTCATTATCTATTCGTTGTGATAATCTTGAGATTATTCCTCTTATTCTAATGTCCTGTCCAAATCTTTCTCATTTTCATTTGCATGTTTTACACAATGATCAGAATATCTCCATTTCCTCACCTCAATGTCATCATCCACTACGACGATGGACATTGTGGAGTCACACCTACAAGTTACCCTTAGAAGTGATTGATACTCTTCTTATTTACACACCCAATGTTGAACGAATGTATTTACAAACAGATATAGATCTTCCATTTGTGGATTTGATCTGCACCATTGCAAATCGTTTAACTCATCTCAGTCGATTCGATTGTTTTGTCCGAGAATATCGATCATGTATCATCAAGACCAATGATTTAGAGAACATACATCAAATGAATCCATGTTTTCGTCGAATTCAATGCTTCGATACAGAGTCGAATGATTATCGAATATTTGATAGTGATTGAATTGTTAATCAAGCAAAATTGTAACTATTTCATTTGTTTTTTGATTCACTTATGATAAGGCTACTCATTGCAAATGCTTTTTTTCAGTAAAAGAAATTTATTGTTCACGTACACTTTGAATAGTTGTCTCTTTCAATTGTTGCCAATATTGAAATATTCGTCTCCTGAGAAGTTGTTTTTTTTCCATTCTATGTGTTAAATGATGGTGAATCGTCCTCTCATACAAAATTGATTTGATCAACTATCAACTTCTATACAAAATGTAACTCAAATTCGAAGCAATTTGCAACGATTAATCACCATATTTCGATGAGATATCTGTGAAAATTAATGAGCTTCTTTCATTCTATTTTGATTTATTTCAAGGTAGATGCCAGTTACCATTCGTCGAAGTTACAGGTCAAAAAGACCTCAGCGATTATTGATCCGGATGTAGGAACAAACATCACTAATCAACACTTAACAGGATAAATAATCGTTAATCATTGGGCGAATCTGTAGGATTTCTACCACTTTTGTAGAAAAATTTCTTTTTCATTTTTTTTCTTTCTAGTTATGTATATCATTGATAGAAAACTATATTATCCGACAAAAAAAAATGGTCATTGACAGTTAAAATAGTGGAAATCCAAGTCATTTTCTGGGAACATCTGCAAAGGACCATTAAACTAGCATAACCCCTAAACGGTACGTTTCCATATTGAGGTTTGATTGAGATATCGACAATTCTCGATGTACTGTTTTTTGTCTTTCACTAAAACTGCAAATTTTACGAAATTTGTGCAAAAGTGCTATATGTAGAAGTTTTGATATCTCGATCAAACCTCAATACGGAAACGAACCGTTCGGAGATTATGCTAGTCTAATGGTGCTTTGCATACGGACAAAAAATCAGCTTGAAATCTTGTAATAAAATGAATAATTCTCTGTAGATGTTCTCACAAAATGACTTGGATGGGTGTGAGTATTCCTTCGACTCATACTCACACCGTACCAGTGATTTGTTTGATTTTGAGAAGAAAAACATAGGAACAATATCATTCAATAAAATTCTTGACCGAATAGAAAATTGCTTTGATAGTCCGTTGCTTATGTTCGTAGTTAACCTTATTGGAATCAGTGAAATTTATCGAAAAGAATTTTCCCATATTGACATCAATGTTAATTTTTCCGTACAAAATTTTTTCACTAAAATAATCGATTTCATTCATTATATAAAAAACTATCAAGTAAAATAACAATAAATATTAATGAAAAACAATGGTTAATAAATCGAATACTTTTTTTTACAAATGGTTTTCTCGCAATAATTTTTTTTTTTGCTAGTAACTTTGTATCCTCGAAAATCTTTGGATAATTTAACAAATAGAATATAAATCGTTGATCAGCCCAATGTTAAAATTGAATTAATAATTAACTTTTAAAAATCTAAGTTGGCTAATTATTTGTTTTATAATAAGAACATTTCCAGAAACTTTTAATAAAAGTTTATATAGAATAGTTGAAGAGAAACTATATGAAAAATTATATAAAGTTTAGATTTTTTTACTCTTTATGAATAAGTATTTAAAAACAAGAATAAAAAATAAAATAAATCAATCAATTAAGATAAATATATAAGTGCATTGATAAAAATTGACAAATAAATTGGGGAAAAATATTTTATTAATTCATTTAATTGTTATTCTTATTTGATTCAATGATTAATTCTATTTATATTTTATAAAACAATTTCAAATATCAAATCTTATTTATCTATGAGAATGAGATATATTCAGTGATGGATAAATTTTCTGAGAATACTATTCATCTATTAATTTCCTTCTAGATAGAGTAAATTGAATTGAACTATTTTCTTTTCTTTTGAAATCACTAACTTATTTAATAAACTCATTAAAATTTATCTTAAAAATAATATTAAATTTGATTTATAATCTAATTAAATATTTCATTTCATTTTAGAATCTTTTATTTCGGATTATTATCGTTTATTAAAGAATAAATATTAAAAATAAATTTTCTTTTTATCAATGAAATATTTATTTTTTATTCTTAGCAATACACGAAGTTTTCGTTTCGAACAAAAAAGTTTCTTAATAGATAAAACGCAATGATAGAAGTCTTAGCACCTTATAGCATATTTCTTGATAGGTATCGTGAATGTTTTCTTCAATAAGTTGCTTAAAGGCTAAGAAAAAAAAAACTTTTTATCTTAATTTAATATTAATCGAGGAATTGCGAATGAAAATGATTAAAATAAAAAAAAAATTATTTAAAAAAAGAAATTTATTAGTGTGAACATTGAAGAAGGTAAATGATAAATGTAATAGAAATTATCTTAGAAGTTTGTGTAGAAAGACCAATGTTTCCTTTAATCTATTCAAGATAGAATCTCTACATCTAGAGTTTCAAAATCAAATTAACAGCTGAAATTTTTTGCATCTTTTGTTTTTGTTTTTTATTATAGAGAATATTAGATGTACTTTAGTAAAGTAAATATAATAGTTAATTATTTTCAAATTCTAATTGATTAGTGCCGATTATAGTTCAGCTTTTTAAAAAGCTTCATTTTTCAGTCAAAGATTTACTCATATTACTGTTAAGTTAATAAAATTTTCATTATTGATTTTCTGAATTGCACATAAGTTCTATTCCATAGTTTCGAGACAGTTGTGTTTTATTAATATATATTGGTGCATATTTTTTAAAACTTGAAAAACGTTCATTTGTCTGTTGATAGAAAATATGTATACAACCCAAAGCAAATTAAGCACATAAAGTGAGCTGCAATTAAACAGTGAGAAGCAATGAACTAATTTATCCCATTTTAAAATTATCTACTTTATGTGCATTTGGAATGTGATGGGCTTATAATATATCTGGAGAGTTATAACTTTGGGATTAGACTATTCTGTGGAAGTTCATGTAATTAGGATTTTGTTTAGTTTCGTTCTTGCCCAAATCGTTTTCGTACCGAATCAGTTGCAGAAAAAAGCCAGTATTTGGTAGAGCAATGCGCCGTCGTTGAACCAAATGATCATAGGCTTCACGGAGATTATTATGATGGTATCTAAATAATGAGACGTTGAAAATTGACATTTGAAAATGAGTGAGATGTTTTTTACTTTAACAGATATGCAAGAACAATTGAAGATGAACGAGAAATACCCACTTGACAATGAACTAAGACTCGTTGGTTCTTGTTTCTGCATGCACGCAAAAATTCGTTTGTTTGATCAAAATATTGGCGAATTTTGGTATAAGGCATGTCGTCCACTTTAATCCATAACACATTATAACTATCAAACATGTTTTTTCCCAATGGATAATCACATATGCTAATAATATGTCCAATATCAAGTTCTTTGAGTATCTTTGTATTAGATGCATGATCGTAATCACCTTGATAGAGAAAATCGTCGATAATCATAGATGGATAAACAAGACGTCGATCTTTGGTTTCAAAGTTCTGTTGCTTTGATCTCAATTCATGTAGCTGTTTTATATAGGCTATTTCTTCGCTTGTCGCTCGCATATTTCGTTCCAAATGGACGAACAAATCGTAATATATCCAATCTCCACTAGTCATATTTTTCTTATCAACACAGGTGTCAATCTAGAAGATAATAATACATATGTTCGAGCATGTAAATTACTGTGAATTTTATAAGAACATATTCAAGATGCATTATATCAGATTTTTGTAATTCATCTTAATCAGATATATTATGCATTTGTATTTCTATTTGAATAATTTCTCTGATCATAATTGGACAAAATGAATCCAAACTTAAAATTACTAGGAATTTACTTTATTTTATCTTGTATACTTTGATCTATTTGTGTCAATCAGCTAGAGATTGTGTTTCCAAACGTGAATCGAGTTGAGACTACTTAAAATTTCATAAGACTTTAATCTTCTTCTCAACCGAGCTGGCATTTGTACAAGATAAATTTGTCAATCGATTCGACATTTACCAAACGAGATCACAATAAAATTACATTTGAAAAGCGAAAAACTTCTTACTTGTATCAGCTGCATAACAATTAAAAATGATTTTTGTAATCATCGGATCTGTAACATTCATGTAAACTCATTGAGTGATGTACTTACAGTGTTTTCTTCATCATCATCAAATGGTCGCGAGCTTAGTAATATCTGTACTTGAGAGTTAAGTTGGTAAATGTATATTTTTTTTTATTTATAGGAATTTTTCTACCAAATGTCTGATCATTTTCAACTAATAGAATAGTACAAGTGTGAACAGCATAATCAACGAACAGTCTCTTAATCGTATAACAAACATAATATCCTAAAAATTAAAATCTTGTAATTTCAATAAATAATCTAAAAAACAAATTAATCAATATTACATCAAATAATAATAATAATGACATTAGATATTTCATAACATAGACAATTATCACATAACTCGAAATTATCAGTAAAGAAATGAGAAGTAATAATGATTACAAAAAATATATTTACGAAATGTGTTAAACTCCATATATTTCTTTCATGTTTTTTATTCATTATGCCGTGAGCGTGATTGAAAGAAAAAAAAGAGCTTAGTTACAAAATGTCGTGCAATACATTGTTGCCTCTTGTGCTGAGTCATTAACCAAACTTGTTTTAATTGGTTACTTGATGATGGCAGCACTCGTCGAGATCAAGATAGGAGAGGGGTGAGATGTGTGGGTGAGTAAACTTATCACAATAACTAGGCATTGTGATGTTGCTAAAATCTTATCAAATGGCACATATTGAGCAAAAGATCTACTAAAAAGTAGAAAATTGTTAATAGAATACACAGTCTACTATGTAACAATAGCAGATAACCTTTTTGTTGGACGAGTAGAGCTACTACAATAACTAGTTTCCCTAGGTAGACATTAAAAATCCAACGATGGGTGCGACAAGTGGTCGAAGTTTAAATATATATTTTTTTTCTTGTTCTGTTCGAATTTCGACCGCCTCGATAACCCTTAAAAATTGATCCCTTGGAAAGATTTTCTATCGTTCATTCATTTTTGAGTGCTCCAACACATTTCGACCATTCGAAAACCATCCAGATTTCGAGTACTTGGCAAGATAAGATCTATCGAAGAGATACTTTTGGTTATTTGATGTAGTTTTCAATCAGTCGAAGTTCATCCAAATTTCGGGTACTCAAGCAGAGGAAGTCCATCAGAAAGATAATTTCCATTACTTGACTCAGATCCAACCGATCCGAAGTTCATCGAAAGTGTGGATGTGGAGTGGGTGTGGGTGTGCTTCTAGAAAAAACAAGCACACCCACACCCTAGTTATAGGACTGTCCTATCTCATTTATAATTTATAAAAATTTTTTTCTGCTATAAGCAAGTGTCGGCTTGATTTTTGTGTACTCAAAAAGTGAGTACACTCTAGAATCGGTCAGTATGTCCGTCCGGCCGGCCGTTTCCACGATAACTTTTGAAAGGAGAGTCCGATTGCGATGAAATTTTCTACACAGCTTAGTCTCAACAATATCTCGGTCGAGTTCGAAGATGAGAAGGATTGGTCGAGCCGTTGCTGAGTTATTGGAAAAATAGTCATTTTTCCCTACGCCTTTCTATGCGAGAATCGACCTATCCCCGCTTTCGTAAAAAACTTTTCCTACTATAGTCAAATCAAACCCCAACTATTATATACCATTCGATAGAGAATTTCACGAGCTACAAAATGGTATATAAAACATAAAGAAATAAGAAGACTAACTCACCTATTGCAAGGGTAATTAAACGGGAATTGGTTCTGTTTGTGTTCACACTCTAATTGATCGACAATTAGAGCTCTGTCTTTCGATCATAGAGATGACAGTTCGAGATTTTTTGGGTCGGAGAACTCCAATCTGAGCTCCGTTTGCCTCGAACTCCTTTTGGTTGAGCAGTAACCAATAGAAATCAAGTTATCGGAAAAACGACTTTCCTAGGGTAAATCAAGGCGAAGAGTTCAAATCTGAGCTCTATTCATCTCTAAATCCTAGTGGTTGAGCAGTAGCCAATAGAAATCAACTGTTTATAGAAAAGGTTTGCCAGGATAATTTTTATGCCCACACATTCTAGGATGACTCATCTGTCTCATTCACTTTTTGAAGTACACATAACTCTCGGATTTAAATCCGAGGTTTCCGCATTTATTTTCATTTATCTTCGAAGTGATATTACACAGTTGATACTTCATTTATATTATAACTTGAATTAGGCAGTTCATGCAGAAGAGTCTCTTATTCTAGGCACACTGGTAGATTATTTTACTCTGTAGTCATTCTGATAATTATCCAGCATCTTCTCATAGAAACAGAATAAAATGATTTAGTATGATTTTTTCCTTCTTCATTTAAAGATATCTCTGTAGTTTTTAATAATATTATGCGAGAAATCGGATAAATTCTTTTAATTAACTTTTCTTTTTCTTCATATAGTATTCTTGATAACTGTCGCGCATGTTCAACAACAAAATCAATAAGTCTGTTTAGTTTACTTTTTTCTTTTTTTTGTTTATAGTTTTCCCGATTGTTATCGCTCCCTTTAGAAGGGAAATAGAATTAGAAAAATAATATTATATATTTTTTTTTGCCTTCTATTAGCTATTTCGATAACTGCCGACTATTCTACGAGAAAAATCGGATAGGTTAATTTACTTTCATTTTGTTCTTCATTCATTTCTTTTTCTCGATTATTGTCGCTTACATTAGAAGAGAAATGAAATCAGAAAAATAATATTTATTTTTCCTGTATATATTTATTTTTCCGGTATTTATTTAGTTATTCCGATAAATGTCTAGTATCTTATTGAGAAAAATTGAATAAGTTAGTGTAGTTCAATTTTCTTTTCTTTGTTCACGACATTATGAAAGAAATCAAATGACGTAGTTTCGTTTGCTTCTTTATTCTATACTTAGTTCTATTCATAGTTGATGAGTATCTGATGAAAAAAAATGGAATAAGTTCGTTTATGTTTACTTTCTTTTTGTCATTGACTTGTTTTCATAGTTAATCAACTTTTTATGGAAGAAAATATCTTAATAGAATTCAATTTACTTTTATTTTTCTTGATTTAGTTATCGTAATTGTTGTGGAACGTTTTATGATCGAAACGAAAGGAGATAATTTAATTTTTTTTCTTTTTCTCTCATCATTCAAGTGTTTTTATATATTTTATAACATGTTGTGTGATGAATTAAATGAACAGATTAAGTTTCGTTGTATTACTGCGCTCAAGCAATGATTGAGTGCTATAGGATTTTCAATGATTTTGGTGACTTAAGAATCATTTCGATAACTCTCTCGTAAACATTATATAGTTCATAGAATAAATGTATTCCTTTACCGCTTCAGAAGCTCTCTTTTGGTTAGTCATTGTCTTGAGCTCTTCTCTATAGGATCTCATATACTCTTTCATAAATTCTTGGTACGAATCATAATCTTCATGAACCCTCTCAGATATCTTTTTGATGATTGGTTTTAAGGTTATTTGAAAGCGGTTAGAAATTTCATGTACCCTTACGAAGAGTTTATGAAGATTTCATAAGCAGTAAAAAAGACTTTTTTATACGTTGCACTTTTATAAACTCTTTAGAGGTTTATTATTCTACGGATTTTTTTACAGTATGGGAGAATATGGTAGTCATATTGTCTCACATCCCTACCCACATTCATACCACACAAATACTCAAACCTATATCGACATCCGCACCTTCTCTGAGATCCAGGCTCGCACCAGACCAACACCCACATACTTCCACATCCAAAAGAGTATTTTTGATAGTCATTTTAAAGAAAAAGACATAAAGTGAAATTCTTTCCTTTAAGTGAATAGTTACATTCAATTGATTTTATTGTGCAAAAAGAATAATCATCATTCATTTTCACTCATAATGAAATTATTCAAACAAAATCATCAGTGATTGAGGTAAATTATTCTCAGATTCTTCGTGTAGAAAAATATAAACGAAACAATCGTTTAGTGACGTTGTCGTGAAAGAAGGCTAAATGTGATTAAACAATAGCAACAATTAATACGGGGCATATGTTTACATAGAATCAGAAAACAAATGAAAGAATTATTTTATGCGACAGTTTCTGTGGTGACTGTGTACAAACAACTTTCTTCGTTTTTCTTTTTTCTGCCCATGTTGCCAATTTTCTAGAAGAAACATGTCAATAATCTCTGATGAGAGGTTGATTTTGCGTTGCTATTGCATTTGTTAAAAGCTTTTTTTCGTTGAGTTTATTCAACAAAGGTGATAAATGTATTGAAGAAATAATTCACAGAATGAATAAGAATTTGAATATATGAAGAAGAAAAAACATCTATAAAAGATTTCGTCGTATTTTTGTACTGCTTTTGATCGATAGGAATTTGTTTTTCGTAAGATGAAAGAACTTGTATTTTGATAGTGACAC